AGGGGGTTGGCGACTAGGGTCGGATCTGGGGGTGTTAGGTCTGGATAGGGGGTGGGGGTGGGTGTGTACTTACCTGTGTTCCTAGCCGTCGCCCGCCGCCGTCCGACGACCGTCTAAACCGCCGGCAGGGAGGACGGAAGCAGAGGGTCGACGCGCCGGTGATTACTCCAAGGAAGAGCCGTTACCAGTTACAACGGGAGAGAGGAAAGTCAGAGCAGAGGAGAGAGAAAGTCCTTCTGCATGAAGAAAAAACAATAAAACTTAGAAGTTCTTCTGCATGCATCCAAGCTAAAATAATGTAAACGTATAATTAAAAAATTTAAAATTTACTTATAGGTGAGGAGTGTATTTTATTAATTATTATAAATGTTTTTTTGGTATATTTTATGGTTTATGGAATCTTAGAGAGGTATTAAAAATATTTTTACTTAGAGTTGTGAAAATATAATATTTTATCAGAAATAATAAATTCTAGGAGGAATGATATTATTAATTCTAAATTTTGAGTTATGTGTTCAAAATAAGTAATTAACATTATAGAAAATATTACTCAAACGCAAATAAAGGCATTTTTAGTTGATGTTATATCAAAATACAGTAGTGAATTTATTTAAAATTTAAAAAAAGGGTACATCATTTGGTGTACCCCATTTGTACACCACCCCTTCCATAACTATTCATTTATTTTTTATTTTTCTACTTAATTATTTTTAAATTTCTTGCCAATTTAAGTAGTAATGGAGGGGGTGGGGGACAAATGGGGTACAACTTTAGTGTACCCCTAACATTTTTCTTTAAAAAAATGTCAAGTGCTTTTTTGAAAGAAAAATCTCAACTGTTTTGATTTGTTGATAATAATGCCCACCTTTTGCTGTTCTTCACTAGGCCAGACATTCGCACCCGTGCGATTGCCCAGAATTTTTTTTGCCAATTGTTAAGTTGTTAATACGAGTATTTCTAAAAATGAATCAATATCGATTTTTTTTATAATATTTAATTATTGTAAACTATATTTAATTTATAATTAAGAGTGTCATAGTCAAACTAAAAAGTCAAATTTTATAAACAACGAGATATTTGTAAAAAAGAACAAGTACAAACATGCTTATTATGTTAAAACAAAGAGAAAAGTGCATCATTTATTATTAAATTCTTGAGAAATTGTACGGTTTACTAATAAATTGTTAAAATATAAATAACTGTTCTTGGGCCACAACCAGAAGCTTGAACTTTTGGTTGAATTGGTTTCTTGACATTAGATCAGAGCCATCCATTTTTTTAAAAAAATTAAAGTTTCACGTGCAAGCCTCGAAAAAAGACTACGCCTGCACGTGAGGGGCGTGTTAGAATATAAATAACTCTTTCTGAGCCACAACTTCAAGCTTGGGCTTTTGGTTGAGTTGGTTCCTTGACATGATATCGAAGTCTCATTGACTAAGAGATCACGGGTTTGAAATTTAGCGCTACCCAGTTTAAAAAAATAAAGTTTCACGTGTAAGACTCGAAAAAGACTACACCTGCACATGAGAGGACGTGTTAGAATATAAGACCACAACCACAAGTTTGAGCTTTTGATTAAATTGGTTCCTTGACATAAATATTAATAAGTATGCCAAATCCTCCCGAATTCTTCAAAAATCTTAAAGTTTACTCCCGAACATTAAATAGTGCACCAAATATCCTTAAACTCTCCAAAAATTACACGATTTATGTCTGAGCATTTAAATAAACACGAAGATAAATCATACTTGCAATTTCCATGTCCGAGAACAACACACTCTCTATCCAACATTTTAGGACCAACGGTGCAACATTTTAAATTATTTATAGATATTTGGTACACTTTTCAATACTCCGTCCTAAAATTAATTTCCTGATTTGACTTTTGTGGTCAAACTTTTAAACTTTGACCGTATATTACGGGAAAAATACATTGAATTTTCATATAAATTTATTAACAATAGATTCATTTTGAAACGTAGTTTTAAAATATATAATTTTTATAAAACATATTTATATAAAATATGAGATATTGATGGTCAAAGTGTTGCATTGGAGACCATGAAAAATCAAATGGAAAGTTAATTTTAGGACGGAGGGAGAATTATATTAATGGGTATAGACGGTCTTTTCTCTTCCCATAAATTGTACTAATTTTACATCTTATCAAAGGGACCCTTTTAGTGTATGTTTTTTCTAGCTAGCTGCGAGAGAGTGGGAATCCAATTCCATGGCGTTTGCTGGGGAACGCAATGAAAAGAATGCTACACACAAACCCAACGCACACCGGCAAAATCGCCAGAAGCTCCTCCGTCTCCGGCGACGGCGACGGGTACAGACAGTTCACGACGTTCTTGTCCAGCAGCGCCGTGGCCGCGAAGACAAGGACGGAGTTGAACGCGTGGAAGAAATCCAACACCGTTATTCTCCGTTTGGCCGCCTCGTCCGGGGAAAGCGTGGCGGAGGCCGACAGGTCGAGGACGAGGAGTCCCCGGAACGTGGCGAGGGCGTAACGGACTTTTCCCCTCTCGTCCCTGAAGCTGTCGGTGAAACAGAGGACGAAGCAGGACGCGGCGCATCCGGCGAGGAGCGCCACCGTCATGGACTGGCTGACGGCGGACGCGCATCTGCCTTCGCGGCTGAGGACGGGGGAGAGAATCTGAAATGCCAAAACTGTCCCCGTCGGGAGGAGGTTCGCCAGGTGGGCCGTCCCTTTGAAGGCTTTCCTCACCGCCTTCTCCGACGGCGATTTCTTGGGCTTCTTATTCGTCTCTTCATCGTTCTCCTGTGGCTGTAACAATGGCAACCCCAGATTTTGCTCTTCTTCCTCCATCACCTGGAGGAAATTAAACTAAGATCTTCGGATTTGAAATCAAGTTTCAAAGCTGAAGATTTCTTTGGTGTTTCTAGGAAAATAATTTGGTTTTTTTTCCTTTCAAAAACAAGAAATGAAAATGATGTGAATCCGCGACTATAATTGGAAAAAAGTTCATATATGAAAATAGATTGGTGGACGAGAAAGGAGGGACATGATGGGCAATGGATCGTTCTCCATAAAATCCGACATTATTAGTGGGTTTTGAGGTTTAATTAGCTAAATAAAAATAATTTAAGCATGATTTATAAACTGTTCCCTTTAATTAATTAATTGTATCATTTGTATGCTCTGTACAAGGACTGAATATGAATATTCTGTTACGTATGTTGAATTAAATTAATCTGTAAGATATGAAGTTTAATTTTTTTAAACTTGACCAGAAATTCAAAATCCTGTTTTATCTCATTTAATGATAGATCTAAAAGAAATTTGGGAAATGATATTTGCATTTCTTTTTTTGATTCTGACACTCCAAAATACACTACGGATTATTTGCCTCTCACATTAATAGTACATTTTGGAGTCCAAATAACAAAAAATGTAACATTTCCCATAATTTTGATTCATGTTGGGGTTTGAGTAGCATTTTGTTGAAATATTGGAATATTAATATTGCTTATATACAGGAGGGTCTCCTAACACAACTAGAAATAGAGAATGTAAACTAATTAAAATACAACATCTACCATAAATAAAAATATAAAGTTGACCTATAATTAAACACTACCATAACAAATATTACGAGACGTGATATTAGTATTATGGAAAATGCTAGGGATACACTAAAGGCGTACCCCAAATATCCCCTACTCCCTCCATAACCACAAAAAAGGGCATGTAAAATTCAAATAAAAAAATAAAAAATAAAAACAAAATAAAATGAATAGTGTAGAAAACAAGTGGGATACATTGTCTAAGACATTTATTTATCCGGTAAGACTCATTGCAGATAGGTTTGATGGTTTATTTTGCCATGTACTACTTTCCTCGGGTGGAAGAAGTAGGTGACATTAGGGAGCTATGAGTTCCATAATTTTATTTTCTAAAACTTTTGTCCAAGGAAATAAATTTGTACTCCTTCCTTGCCCATGCTTTCTTCTTAGTCACAATATTTTTTCATACACAATTTCACTCTTGTTGGAAATAAATTTGTACTCCTTCCTTGCCCATGTTTTCTTCTTAGTCACAATTTTTTTCATGCACAATTTCACTCTTTTTTGGCATTTAAGTTTAATTTTATCCTTAGAGAGATTTCCTTTTTGGAACCCGAATTCGACTGGGATGGTAATGAACAATCTGGGCTTGAATAATGCATAAAGGAACGGTTGGAGGTACTAATCTATCTAGCTCCCTAATGCTATGGTGTCCTACACAAGGAGGGTCTGTTTGAGAATAGCGTTAGTGTAGAAAGAATATTTTCATTGAATAAATGTGTAGAGATTACATGTATATATACTAGAGGCTTCAATCCTAATCATAGTAGGAGAGCCATAGTAGGAAACCTATACAAGTCTGGTAACACAATAATTACAAGAATAGTAAATATAATTAATATATTTAGCATGCTCCCGGCTACGTCGAATGTGGAGGGAGGTCGGATGCCTAGGATGGATTTGAACTCGAGGAAGAGCAGGGACGGTAGGCCTTTGGTGAAGATGTCAGCATACTCGGAAGAAGAGGGCACATGAAGAACATGAACCTGCACAAGTGCTACTTTATCCCGGACAAAATGTATGTCAACCTCCACATGTTTGGTCCGCTGGTGCTGTACCGGATTTGATGATAGGTAGACGGCGCTGATATTGTCACAGAAAACGAGGGTGGCACGTCGGAGTGGCTGCTGTAGCTCAAGGAGAAGGTTGCGGATCCACGAAGTCTCAGCTACGGCATTGGCCACAGCCCGGTACTCGGCCTCGGCACTGGATCAGGAGGTGGTGGCCTGGCGTTTGGACGACCAGGAGACCAAGTTGTCGCCTAGGAAAACGCAGTAACCAGAGGTGGAATGTCTAGTGTCAAGACATCCAGCCCAGTCTGCATCAGAGTAGGCCTGCAAAGAGTCTGTAGTGGAACATGTTAGATGGATTCCGTGAGTGGTCGTGCCCTGCAGGTAGCAGAGGATCCGCTTCATGGCCGTGAGATGCATGTCCCTAGGTGCATGGAGATGAAGGCAAAGCTGCTGGACGGCATAAGTGATGTCAGGTCGAGTAAAAGTGAGATACTGCAGAGCTCCAACAATGGACCTGTACAACGTCAGATCAGGAAGGGTCGTCCCAGCTGAGGAGGATAATTTTGCCTTCGTGTCCACTGGTGTAGAGATGGGGCGACAGGAGACCATCACATCCCGCTCGAGGATGTCATGGGTAAACTGAGTCTGATGGAGGAACATCCCAGTGGAGATGCGATGGACATTGATGCCGAGGACTCCTTTTCCGGTAACATCCCATCGAATCTCGACCGGTTCCGGACCCTAAGACGTATTCGGTTGCGATCTAATCGGTTATCCGGCGAGGTACCGCCCAATTTTTTTGGGTTGCCCCTCATTTACCTATAGATCTGAACGACAATGGATTTTCTGGAAATATATCAGGGAAGATATCAAGAGGGAAGAACTTATCGAGCCTTCAAATCTCCAGAAACAAATTCTCCGGCTCCATCCCCGACGAAATTGGAACCTTGGTGAATCTAGTCGATTTCTCTACCAGCCAAAATGAACTCCGAGGAGAAATTCCTCTTGCACTGATGAATTTGAAGCAGCTGGTGACAGTTGATCTGAGCAAAAACCACCTCTCCGGCAAATCTCTTGATGAAATACATTCATTGATTCTGCTAAGCGAGCTTAATTTGTCTGGAAATCAGTTATCAGGCGAAATTTCTGTCGGAATTGGGAATTTACCAGTTCTGAACTATATCGACCTCTCCAGAAACAATTTATCTGGAAAAATTCCTTTGAGTTTCCAGAATCTCAAACTCAACATGTTTAACTAGTCGAACAATCATCTCTCGGGCGAAATCCCTCCGTTTTTCGAGAATAGCATCTACTCAGAAAGTTTTCTAGGGAATCCATCTTTATGCAGCGGTTTATGCCCCGCAAGAACTCCACAACAGAAACATGAAAGGTATATATGGCTGGTAGGAGCCATTTATGTCACCACTGGAACTATTTTTCTTCTGGGAATCATCTGCTTCATATGTAAGTTCAGGAGACTGAAACAAGCATCACAGCAAGGCGAGACATTGTCGAAATGGACATCGTTCCACATATTCACATTCTGCAAATCCGAGACCTCGAATTTCTGGAAGATTCCAACTTGATTGGGAATGGGGCATCTGGAAAAGTCTACAAGGCTACGCTGAGCAATGGCGAAACAGTTGCTGTCAAGAAACTGGAAAATAAGGATGAGTTTGACATTGAAGTGGAAACATTAGGGAAAATCAGGCACAAGAACATAGTGAAACTATGGTGTTGTTGTGATGCAGGGGACTTCAAGCTCTTAGTGTACGAATACATGCCCAGAGGAAGCCTTGGAGATGTGTTGCACTGTAAGAAAGGTTGTGGTTTCCTGGACTGGCCATCCAGGTTTAAGGTGGTTTTGGATGCAGTTGATGCTTTGGCCTATCTGCACCATGATTGTGTCCCTCATATCGTTCATCGCGATGTCAAGTCTAACAACATTTTGCTGAACAAAGAGTTTGGCGCGGAGATTTCAGATTTCGGTGTGGCCAAAATTTTGGGATGCAGTGACAGAAGTTGTGTTGAGTGCATGCCTATCATCGCTGGTTCTTATGGTTACATTGCACCATGTACACTATTCCTGCTTTCATGTTTACTTCTTAAGATGAAAATCCCAAATATAGAAGTTTGGAATATGAAGAGTTGGTAGGAGGTGATTAGACAAGATTTAGGACTTCAGAACCTAACCGAAAATATGATCTTAGATAGGAACTGTAGAAATCTAGTATTAGCTTAGTTGGGCAGACCTAATATGATCTTAGCATGCTTCGGCCCCATAATAAAATTTAGGATGAGGTAACTTGTAAGGGTCACTGAACTGGGTTATAAAACACTTGGCTAGAATCACATTAAAAGATTGAATCCAATTGAATACAAGTTCAACTCAAGAATTTGTAAACCTATTATAATTTTTTTCTTTATTTTCCTATCTGAGATACTCTAAGAATATGATTGCTAAGCTAATAACTGCAATGTGGTTACAGAATACGCATACACATTACATGTGAACGAGAAGAGCGACATTTACAGCTTTGGCATCGTGATGCTGGAGCTGGTGACACGAAGACGGGCCGTGGAGGTCGCGTTTGGGGAGAAAGATTTGGTGAGCTAGGTCAGCTCAGTTCTGCACAATAATGGAGCTGATAAAGTGATTGATCCAAACTTGGATTCCAGTTTCAGAGAACACATGAACAAGGTTCTTGATATTGCTCTTCTTTGCGTCGGCCTTGTTCCGGCTAACCGCCCGTCCATGCGCACATTTGTGAAATTGCTCCAAGAATCAAATCTCAAGTGGAAATATTAATCGAAAAATGGGACTTTAATTAGGGGAATATGCTAAGGTTTACAACTCTTACAGACCCACTCATTGAAAGAGTGCACAGTTTTGTATGTAATGGGTGGAAGAACTGAGTTGAGTTGGCAAATCACATAGTTATGGTGTGAATTTTTTTATATCTTTTTCCAATATTTTTGTAAATCTAACGGTTAATTTTTTTAGACGACGAAGTATGTACTTCCTCCGCGTAATAAGATTTCTAGACTGACTTGGCACAAAGTATAAGAAGAATAAAAAATGGATAGTTGAAAGTAACGTGCAGAAAATGAGAAAAGTAAAAGATTGTGAGTTGAACAAAATTCTACAAAAAAGAAAATAAGGAGTTCTTTTGGAAGGAGGAACTACATAAAAAACTCACAATAGCAAACAAACAAGAATGATAAGAATGTACTTCCTCTTAGTTAGAAGAATATAGTCCTATTTGAATCTTTTTGATCTCTAGCTATTACAATGATTGACCAATTTTATTTAACATTCAATTTATTTGATACTAAGTGTAAAATTAAAAAATAAAAA